AAAAAAAAAAAGTTTCCCCTTTGGGAGGAACAGGTGCGGGTGTGACTTGCTTTACCTGCCACCCCATGAACACCTGGTCTCCAAGCCTTCCTCCAGTGACAGATAACCAATTAGACACCTCGCTCTCAGGGTCTCGACTGTCCCGTGCTCTGGCTGGGACTCCAGAAGCAGACCCAGACAGGGAAGTGTTTGTTCTCTGTGACTGGAGTACCTTAGCTGCTGAACTGATCACGGGCGTTGGGGGTCGGGGGGAGGGTTGCGTCTTCTGGAAGGAGGTGGCATTTGAATGGAGCCTCGGGCGGTATTCTGAGCAGCAAGGAGAGGGAACAGGACAGACGGAGGAGGAACATGAGCTGAGGCTCAGGGGAGAGGAAGCTTGTGCGACACTGGGGGACAATGTGCTGTTACATTGATTCAAATTCAGGGCTCTGTGGAGGAGCGTGGGGGTGAGGGGTGGTGACGCCTCACTTTCCACCGGAGCGCAGCATCTTTATGTAAGCTTGCCAGAAAGAAATGCAGGACACCGAGTTAAATTTGTATTTCAGATAAATGACAAACAATTTTTTAAGATAATTATGCCCCACATATTGCACAATATTTGATGCTGATAACCGAGGCAGGGAATACAAATATTGCGTGTGACGTACTAATACTAAAAATGTGTTGTTTATCTGAAATTCAGATTCTACCCGGCACCCTGGATTTTCTTTCCTAAACCTGGCAACCCTGCCTTCATGCCAAATGAGGAAGTTTGGTCTTGTTTAGGCAGAGGAGCAAGACCTTCCTAGCTAGACTTTGGGAATGGTCTGGATGCAGGGTGCTGGGGCTGGCCTGAGCTGTGAGGAAGGGGCCTATCTTGCCTGAGGGTTCCTGGGGGAGGGTGGGCGAGTAGGGCTTCTGAGCCTGAGCCTGGACCACAGGAGAAGGAGGGAGTTTGGGCGGTTTGGGCCGGTGGAGGCGCCTGGCAGGGTGGTGGCAGGGAGGGGCAGCAGACACGGAGGGGGCGGGGCAGACGCAAGGGGCCTGAGAGAGCTCCAGAAGCCAGTGGCTGTCTGTGGCAACAGGGGTGGGCTTCCAGGAGACCCTGGACAAGCACTGGCAAGGACTGAGGGGATCCTCGAATTCTCATTCACAGAGGGAGTGGGGAGGAGCAGCTGTAGGGTAGAGTGCTGAGTGTGAAGGGGGGTTTGCTGGAGACACTGTGCTGACTGGACACAGGGGCTCTAGGGTAGGGGGCCCAGGAGGACTCAGCACTCTCTCCCCATTGCTTTAAACCCGCCTTTGCCTCCGCTCCTCATCCTAAACTGCAGCGTATTCTTGGGGGGATTTGCCTTTCTGCAGAAATAATCTTTAACTTAGCCTTGCCTTGGACATTGGAACTTGCTGGAGGGAGGATGCTGAGCCAGCTTGTTTGAATATCCCAGCGGCACTCCCCCTCCGTGCTAGGGATGGGGCCTGGGGCTCCGTCTGGGGAAGGAATGTCCATGTTCCCTGACTTCTGAGTCCCCTGCCCTGTCAGCTGCAGCCCCACAGTGGGCTGGGGAGCCCCCTCCAGGCTGGTTAACCCCAGTCTTCCCCGGCCTGGGAGCATGAGCAAGAGAAAGGCCTCAGCCCCAGGTCCCGGGAGCGCTCTATCAGCAATATCACCGTTTCCAAACTTGTCTCATCCTAGAGATCTCCAGGCTTCTGCTCTGTGATCTGCTGAGACAGGACCCACAGCAGTCTACATTCTGGCAAGGACGCTGGGTGATTCTCGTGATCAGACGAGCTTGGAGAACACAGACTGTGCCTGAGACCCCAGGCCCTGGCCCTGGCAGAACCCCAGTGGGCGCAGCCACCCATCTAGCGCCCCCTACTCTGCGCCACCCCAGGCTTTCCTGAGGGCTGGGCCTGTCTTCCTGGTGTGCACAAATGTGCAGGGGGGACAGTGGTTGGGTGTGAGCTGGGGGGTGCACAGTGCGTGGCAGCTGACTCTAGACACAGATCCTGAGCATAGTGGGGGGCAGAGATCTCCGCAGGAGGTGGTGGTGGCCGGTAAGGCCAGATGCGCCTTCCTCCAGCTCTGTGAGCGCCCTGGGCTTCTGCACAGTCTGGGGGACAAGATGGCGCCCTGGGCATTTCAGGAAGGGGGGCAGGGACATCTTACAGACACACCCATGGCAAAGATTAGAACAAAAGACAAAAAAATGGTGCCCTGCAGCTTTGGTGGAATCTGGCGCACATAGATTATGGTCTTGGACAGTTGAGTAGAGGCTACAAAAAGACAGTTGGGCAGGTGGACATGCGGACTCTGGGACAGCCAGAAAACACCCAAGAGTGATTTGTCCCTCAGTCTTCTAACGGCAGGGCCCAGGGCAGCCCAGGAAAACCAAAGAACCACAGAAGCCTCGCGGGGCCGGTGTGCTTTCAGCCGAAGGGAATGAACATTTGGGTTGGTAGAGGGACCGCCTGAGATGCTGAGTGGCATCTTGTCGTGCCTCCCAGAGCTGAGCCACTCACGGGAGCAGACCGCGGGGTCTGGGCAGCAATAGCAGGTGTAGGACAGGCTCAGGATTCGTTTCTGAAAATCAGGTGGTGTCCCAGAGTGCTACCTAGATTTCATTTTAAGAAAGTGCTCATGTCAAGGAAGTAAGCAGCCAGTGGGAGGGAACCCCAGGCTGACGGAGCCCAGAGCCCTGGGGCCCGTAACAATCAACCCCTGAGCCTGGGGACGGGGGGGGGGGGGGGGGGGGGCGGGAGGCCCGGCTTTAACTGGCAACCTAGAGATTTGCGGACGGTGGTGTGTAGTAAAACCTCTATCCTAAAAGGTAAAGGGTTTGTTATTTACCTAAACCATTTTCACAGGACTTCTCCCCTCCGTGCTCACACCAGCTCTGTGAACGGGACAGGACAGGCCCAGTACACATGGTTCAGGCTGGGAAACTGAGGCCCCCCTGCTGTCACATCTGGTAGGGGGAGCCGTCAATCCAAAGTAGCTAGAGTGGGACAGACGGAGAAAGGAAGGGTGTGCCACAGGCCGCCACCTCGTCAGGGCTGTGCCAGGAACGGGGACGACGGGAGGGCCCCAGCTGTGGAGCTCCACACCTTACTTCTTCCTTCTCTATGTCCCAAGGAGGAAGTGGGACCCTCCTCCTCCTCATGGTGCCCAGGTGTGTGCCCCCCGCGGTGGGGCTTCCCCTGGAGCACGACAGAGCCCTTCCCCAGGCGGATCTGTCCTGCCTTTGCCCCTGCCTCCCTCCTGCCTCGTCCCTCCCCTCTCTGGCTCTGGGCACAGGGCTCCCTCTGAGTCTCCGGCCACCCTGGACCCCGCACACAGGACGCCAGCGCACACGGCGCTCCCTCCAAGCCCCCTCCTTGCCCGTAGTGTCTTTGCTCAGCCCCTCCCCGTGGCCCCTCGCAGCCACATCCGCCCTGCAGAGTCTCCAGAATTATCAGTGGACTTCACATAACTAAATACATAATTAACAGGTACCTAATGGATGGCTTTTGACCGGTTCTGGAAATCACGTTCGACTTATTTTGATACATTTCTGTCTTTTTGGGAAATTACTGTGCTGTACTTCTTTTTAGAAGACTGATCTGTTGGCCGTGTTGTCTTTCAATAACGACTGGCAAGGTCAAAGCTCTTGACAGCGGTGAGGGTAGAGCAAAGATATTAGGCATATAATGGTAGTAGCTGAGATTCTCCAGAAACCTGGAATTTGTCTTATGAAACTGTGGCAAGAGAAAACGATGTGAAACCCATGGGGGTATCACACTTCGTGGTAAACATTTACTTTGTCTGGAGAGAAGACGGAAAGGGACGGTTTGACTTACAAACAGTCTTGTGTTTTCGGCCCTTCTGACCGTGGTGTGACCCACAGTTTAACCTGGTGTGTGACGACTCTTGGAAGGTGGACCTCTTTCAGTCCTGCGTGAACCTGGGCTTCTTCCTGGGCTCTCTGGGTGTCGGCTACATTGCAGACAGGTACGTAAAGGTCAATCTGACCAAACGCAGTGGCGATGCCGTGAGGAGAATGGATCGTAGGGGACAGTGGTGGAAGCCTCTGGCCGGGGGAAATCTACTGCAGATGCTGATGGAGAAAGACACGGTAGCTAGTGCTTTGGACTGGGGTAGGGCAGCACAATGGAGTATGAGTGGGGATTTAGGATGGACTTTGGGGGTCAAAACTCATGCAGATTGTATAGTTGGGGTGGTGGGCTGAGAGAAGGTGGGGACAAAGCCAGGGTTTATGCATGGAGCAGTTGGGTGAGGTGAGGGTAGGGCCATTTTTTGAGACAGGACAGAGCAGCCTTTGTTGTGGGGGGAGGGGGGAGGGAGCCATCAAGAGTTCTGTCCTGGTGGGGTGAACATGGCAGCTATGCTAAGCATGGCCCAGGTGGCGCAGAAGAGATGTCACCTAGGGAGGTGGATACGTGGGTTGTGCTCAGAAGAGAAGTTTGTGCTAGAGATAAATATTTGGGATTTGTTGGCGGGAACTGCTATTTAAAGCTGTCAACGATGTTTAAGATAAGCTAGCGGAGTGTATAGAGGCTGGTAGGGAAGGAGCTGCTGGCAAAGGAGATTTGGAAGAAATGGCAGGGAGGTAGAAAGACAACCGCTCTTCCGGGATAGTGTGAGGCTATAGAAAACAAGACGGGACTGGCCCGATGGGTCCAAACCTGTGGCCACGGCACCGTGACTACCAGTGACAAGGATGGTGTCAGGGGAAGGCTGAGGAAAAAAGAGAGAGGAGAAAGTAGAGTTTGTGTTTGTGGACAACTCTGTAAGGCAAGTGGGCCAGGAAGGACGGGGGACAGGCAAAGGGTCCAGGATGGGGGTGACCACATCGTGGAGGGCTTGAGGGAGCAACGGGGCAGTGGAGGGGCTGGGCCCCAGGGGAGCAGGTGAAGCAGCCTTTGGTCGGCGGCGCAGGAGAAAAGATAGAGGCGGACACAGATGACGTTAGTTCTGATTGTTCCGAGGTGACAAGGTGTGAGCGTCTGACAGAAAGTTTCTATATTAGTACAGGATGAGGACGTCCACTGGCTGGCATGGAGGCACGCTGGGGAGGAGCGCGGGGCTGGAGGTGAGAAGGCAAGGAGTAGAGGGATGAAGGGCCCGCGGTGGAGTCTAGGAGGCAGGCGGCAGGGAACACAGAGGATGCAGGGTGGGGCGATCTGGGGGTGGAGACCAGGTCGCTGTGGCCATGCAGGAGGTTGGCCCCTTGCTTCCTCGAGTAGCCACCAGAGTGAGGGATCAGGCTGGGAAAATGGAGTCAATGAAGCTCCCTACCGGGATGAAGAGTTAGCAAGTGATTTGCCCATTTCATTCATGAAAAAAGGAAAGGGAAATAATCCTCAATTGTTATACCATCAGAACTGAATATTTTCCCAGAAAAGTTTCTGAGGCTGCTGATAAGACTAGCATGTTAATAATAATACAGTCTGCCGGGCGATGAAAGGGGGCACATGTGGGAACCTGCAGAACCCCCAGGGGAACCACCCCCCCAGCTGAGATGCCAGATGCCCGAGAGCATCAGGATTCTGGCTTCCTCCTTACAGTGAGTTAATGAACCTCAGAAGGGTCGCTGTTCCCTGAGGACCACACGGTTGGGCCCTCAGGTCCGGGGGGCAGTTCCTCAGGACAGCAGTGATGCATGCCTCCTGATCGAAACTGTTGCTGTCCCTTGGTGCCCATTGGACCCCAAATACTCAACACCCCCCCCCCACTTCCCTGTCTCCTTGCATCTGAAGGTTTGGCCGAAAATTATGTCTCTTGGCTACCAGCCTCATCAGTGCCGTCTTGGGCATCCTCATGGCTGTGGCGCGAGACTACCCGTCTCTGCTGCTCTTCCGCCTGCTGCAGGGGCTGGTCAGCAAGGGCAGCTGGACGTCTGGCTATGTCCTGAGTAAGTGTCTGCTGGGCTGAGTTCCCACCAGGGCAGGTGGGTGGGTGGGCAGGTGGAAGGGGGTGGAGCCAAATTGGAGTTGGGATTTAGGGGGAGAGGGGACATTTGCGGGGTCTAGAGAAATTCTGCTAGCTCTAGTTGTATGTGATTGTCTGTCTGACCGGGCAGGGCACGACGTGGGGACAGCCTCCCTCCCTCCCTCCCTCCCTCCCTCCCTCCCTTCCTTCCTTCCCCCGAAGGCTTGCAAGTCACATATTCCCTGGGCCTCCCCTGGGAATATTGGTCTCCTTTATTGGCTTCTCTTCTCCCCAGTCCCTCAATGTGGCAGGACCCAGGACTTTGTCCTCCCCGTCCCCAAACCTGCTCCACTTGCAGACCCCCACCCCAGCCCCCAGTCAGTGACGTGCCCTCTGTCCAGCCACTCAGGCCAGAGGTCTGGCAGTCAGCCTGGCCCCCTTTTCTCTACGCCTGCTTCTGGCCCCTCGGGGGTTCTGCTGCTGGCTTTCACAGTGCACACGTGTCCACCATCTCTCCTCTGCCCCTGCCCCTGGGCCCAAGCCAACACTGTCACTTCTCCACCACCTGGGTCCCCAGTCTCAACTCAGCAGTGGACGTGGGATTGTGTTGCCCCTCTGGGCCCGGGCTCTGCACTTCATGCAGCACAGACCAGCCTCCGTAAGGCCCCCAGGATGGCCTGGCCCCGGGCACCGCCCCTCTCCCTGGTCCTTGGCTCCCACTGCCTGGAACTTCACCCTTGAGGTTCACCCCCCTGCACTGCTCTCTGAAAAACTGCAACCCCTTCACCCTCCACTCTCTCAATCCCCTTCCACCAGTGAACTCTCCGTCCCCCCGTGGCACGAAGTGCATTCTGGTCTGACACACAATTTACGCATTTGCTGGGTGTGCCCTCTGCCCTCTCTCATGAGGATGTGGGGTTAGGAGGGCACGACTCTGCCCGTGGGGCTGACGACACACCCCAAACGCCCAGAGTGGTGCTGGGGCCCTGGTAGGCACCCAGGGATGCTTGTTAGATGAACGTGCGCTCCTGGGGCCGTGAGAAATCTCACAGCTCAGTCTGGAGTTTGTCGGGGCAAAGCCCTGGGGAGGAGAGGGGGGGCCTGTGTTCAGGCATACCGGACCCTGAAGCACCCGGAGGACACTACAGACGGCAAGTGGGGGGATTAACAAAGGAAGAGCTAGAGAGAAGCTGGGACCGGCAGCCAGGTGCATCTCAGGGAGGCTTGAGCTGAGTAGCATCAGCAGGACGAGGGGAAGGAGCCTGGGGTCAGGCAGGCAGAGGCAAGGTGCAGGGGCTTGCCCCGGGGGAGGAGGGAGGCCACGGGGAGCACAAGGAGCCCCAGTGGTGACTTATGTCCTGTTTCAGTCACAGAGTTCGTGGGCTTGGGCTACAGGCGAACAGTGGCGATCCTCTACCAGATGGCCTTCACGGTGGGGCTCCTGCTACTCTCGGGGGTGGCCTACGCCATCCCTCACTGGCGGTGGCTACAGCTGGCCATCTCTCTGCCCGCCTTCCTCTCCCTGCTCTACTACTGGTACGTGGGTCCTCCCCGGGGCCTGCTCCTCTCCCCACCCCCGGGGCCACGCTCGGTGAACTCCGACTGCCTGCTGCTCGGTGACCACACAAGCCATCCCCCAGGTGGCTACGGTGGCCACGCACTCGGGCACAGGACTGTTTCTGCCCTTTGTGCCATTTGGGGTGTTCTAATATTACAGGATGGCCCCCGCTACATGGGGAGCTACCTTCAAACAGAGCCTCTCTCAGTTTGCATCCCTTTAGGTAGAGGGGCAATGCTTCAAGTCAGATAGGAAGCCACCTAGCCACACAGTAGGCATCTGCTGTTTGTTGAATGAGTGAATGAATGAATGAATGAGTGAATGAAAGTTCTCGGGGAATGTGCACATTAAGCCATTGTGAGACAAACCAGTCCCAAGATGAGGTATTAATCTTACTAGCGGACAGCACTTGGCAGGGTCCCAAGGGATAAGCAGCTGGACAGATGAGTTTTGAGTTTTGATTGTGGGCCAGGGAAGGGGCGCAGAGAGGGCTGTGGAGAGAAATAGCTCATCCCTGCACGCTTCGTCACCATTCTGCTAAGGACAAATTATCTGTGGGTAGCACTGAAGTAGACCCAATCTCTCTAAACCAGGGCCTGCCGCTGGGAGCGGTATGTCTGTGGTCAGGACGAGCCTGCTCTCCCCCATCAGGGTGAAATCTGGGGCTCCCCAGTGGGGAAGGACGCCCTGGTGAGTCTCGCTGGCTGGGCAGGGTGGGCCTATGCCTGAGTGTTTTCAGAAGACTGCATGCCAGAGATTCCCAGTCTTCACGTTGTAACATCCTTACCCGGTTTGAAATGGACCGCATGCTATCTGTTTATTTGGTTTTGGAGATATTTTGATATCTTGTTCAACAGCCCTTGTATGACACGGAGACACCCTGCTGTCACACCAGGGTTGGGGGCATATGGAGCATCGATTCTGTGCAAGGAGTTTCCAGGGCCCGGCAGAGAATGGGACCCCTGCTCCGTGGAATGAAGGCCACAGAGGAAAGCAGCAGTTCCCTTTTTGACCCTAAATCTTAGCAGGTGGCACTGAGAGTATGAGGGACCCACAGAGCTCCTCCGTGGGCACCCTGAGCCAGCACAGGATGACCCCAGGTCCTCGTCCACTAGCTGCTTGAGGAATTACAGTCCCGAAGTGAGGAGGGTGGGTTGCTTGGAGCAATAGCACCGCTCTGACCAGGGCTTACCATCAGACGTGCTCTGGGGAAGCCACCACGTAGTGACATCTGTGTCTGCAGGTGTGTGCCCGAGTCTCCCCGATGGCTGCTATCACAGAAGAGAAACACTCAAGTGATAAAGATAATGGACCATATCGCCCAAAAGAACGGGAAATCACCTCTCGCTGATCTAAAGGTGACAAACTAGCAAGGGGTTTCTCATATCACTGAACTTTGGGTTGGGTTTATGATTTAGAAAATGCTTCCGGGGCTGCCTTGAGGAGCAGGAAGTCCCTGGAAGAATTTGGGGTGATGAGTGCTGAGCACAGGGATGGGTGGGGTGGCTCTGAGGGCTTCTTCTGCTCCCCCCAGCTTGGATGCAGCTGATGCTCTGACTTCCTCCTAGATGCTCTCTCTCGAAGAAGATGTCACTGAAAAGCTGAGCCCCTCCTTTGCAGACCTGTTCCGCACGCCACACCTGAGGAAGTACACCTTTATTCTGATGTACCTGTGGTAAGGGGCCTTTCCTGTACCTTCCCCCAACGGAATCGGGTGCTTGCCCGGGCACTGGGCTACTCACCCACGTACCCTGGCCCACCCCCGGGGGTCTGCACCCCTCTCCAGGCTGCTCTCTTGCAGCCCCCTACCCTGTTCCCTCAGAGGACACCCAGCCAGCTCCCCGTCACCCGGGCTTTGTCCTTGACATTCAGTAGCTCCCCCAACCCCAGGGGCTGAGTGGCTGGACTGTGGGCTCCCCCCTTTAGCTGGAGCCACTCTGCTGCTGGTACACTCGTTTCCGCTTCCAGCAAGGTTTTACTAGAACCAAGGGTCCAAGCTAGTAGGGTGATGCCTGGTACATGGTAGCCCTGCAAATATTTGCTGAAGGTTGAATAAATAACCACGGTTCTACAGAATCCATCCCAAGTGCTGGAGATGCCAGCCAGGCTCACCATGCCCTCCCTTGGCCCCACCAGTCACCTGCCATGTCCCCGTGTTGGCCCCAGAGTCCTGCAGCCAGCGCACGATGGGCCCCGGGAGCCTTTGCAAACACCCCAGCTGCCCGGTGCACTTCCACCCCCCTCTTTACTTCCTTCCCTTTCCACTCGCCTCCCCCACTGCCATCCCCTAATGTACTCCTCTGGGGGGAGGGGGGGATGCTTTGACTCCTCTGCTCTCACACCCCTGCACCCACTCCCCGGGCCAATTCTGCTCTTTTTTGAAAGGTCACTCCCCTGTCCACATCCTCCGCTGGCTTCCTAACAAACTGAGGATAGAACCAAATCCCTTTCCGTGGCCTACAAGGAGCTGACCCTGGACACCCCTTCCCTCCGCCTGCCCCTTCCTTCCCAGCACTTCCCGGCCGCGTGACTCCAGACAGCTCTGCATTCTCTCTATGACTCAGTTTCCTCGTCAGCAAGTAGGGGTAATGGTAGTACCCCACCCCCCACCCGCGTGTTGGTAGATTCATGAGATAATTTGTGTAAATGGCTTAGAACCAGTGGCTCAGTACCACGGGCTACTATTTTAACATGTACATGCAATTCATGGGTTCTGCCAAAAGATGGCAGGCCTGCACATTTGTTAACTGCTTTTTGACGAGAAATCAAGCTTATACATTCTTTTCTCTTAAATCAATCTCTTTACCAGTAAGATACGAGTGTTCCATTTTACTGGAGCAAAGAGAGGGCGTGGTGAGCCTTTCGGAAATCAGGAATGATTCAGGACTAGAAACAAGAGCGTCCCAACGTTCTTCTGTGTGCAGCTTTGTAGAACGAGGGAGTGTATTGATGAGAACCATCAGTTGTGATCTCTGTTTTGGAGCTGATGGACAATTTACGTGCTGGGATAAGACAGCAACTTCTTATCAACCAAAATCTCTTCTCGCAGTGTAAATACCAATATAATGATCAAATGTTTCTAGCCTCCAAAATGATACAATGTCACCAAAAAAGACACATGGGACCCTCTGAATTCTCCCTGAGTGACTTGGCGGGTCCCCACTGGCCTCTGTGCCGTATTCTGTAGCACTGCTGTTCTTCCCTGGAATACGGGTGGAGGGAACTCAGGTGGGCTACAGGGTGGAGGGGGGGAGGGGAACAGCGCTGTTGAAGCAGGAAAGACTTGGCTGGCACCTGCTCTGCTGTGCTTTGCGGACTTGACCTTGGGAAGATGATGCTGCTGCTGCCAATCATCGCTCATCTTTAGCAAGTGCTTTCTACGTGCCCAGAACCACACCAGGCACTTACTGTGGGACAGAGAGGGGGTGCAGCGAGGGCTGTGGAGAGAAATATCTCATCCGGGCACCTTTCGTCACCGTTCTGCTGAGGGCAAGCCTGATCTGTAGGTGGCACTGGGGTAGGACACAGTGAATAAAGGCTGGCCTCTAAGCCTTATACATCTGTGGTCAGGACAAGGCTGCTGTCCCCTTGTGGGTGTGGAGCAAGGGGCTCCCCCGTGGGAAGGGATGCTCTGGCTGAGACTCGAAGTTTGGGCAGGATGGGACTGTGTCTGAGTGTTCTCGGAAGACCTTATTCCATTTATTGATGAGGGAATTGAGGCACAGAGGGCTTCGTTCAGTTATTCAAGGTCACACAGCTCACACAGCAGTCTGATTGGTGAACCTGCTCACTCCGCGGTGCCTTCTGCCCATCCCCTTGTAGCTGCTGGGGCCTCAGGGTCCTCGTTTGCCATCTCGAGGACATGTCGTTATATCCTGGAAGTCACTATGTCACATCAATCCTGAGAGGAGCTTCTCCCTGAGCGCCCCTCTAGGACAGCCTTCCTGATTTTTATCCCCTCTTCTCGTGTCGCTCCACGACATTCTAAATCGAGGGACACCTGTTCCTCTCCAGCTCATAGGGACCTTTGTCCTCGCTGGACAGGATCTTAACTCTCTCCCATCCCACAGACAGGAGCCTCTGCCTGAGACTCTGCTTCTCCTCTGTGCTCAGGTTCACCAGCTCCGTGCTCTACCAGGGCCTCATCATGCACGTGGGCGCCACGGGGGGGAGCCTCTACCTGGATTTCTTTTACTCTGCTCTGGTTGAATTCCCGGCGGCCTTCATCATCCTCGCCACCATTGACCACTGTGGCCTCATCCGCCCCTTGGCTGCGTCCAATCTGGTGGCGGGCGCAGCCTGCTTCGTCATGATCTTTATCTCACATGGTGAGTCGTGCGTTCCCCTCATCTTCTAGGTAATCAAATTATCGATCTGAAATTCAGATCGAATTTGAGAATAGTGTTTCAGGTCCTGGATGTGCCCCTCGAACAAGAACAAAGACAAAGACGGGGTGTTATCTTAGTCTACAACTGTGTTGTTGTTTTTTTAAATTTTAAATTGCGGTATAACATACACACTCAAGGAGCAAATGACAAGTGTACAAGCTGATGAATGCTTGCGTGTGAATATATCTGGGCACCATGACCTAGATCTATGGAACATTTCCAACACCTCAGAAGGTTCCGCTGTGTTCCCTGACAATCCGTACTGACCCCTCCTGTTCAGATCACCACTGCTCTGACCTCTGTCACCGAAAAGTAATTTTGACTGTTCTTGAACTTCATACAAAAGGAACCATAGCAAAAGTAGCCTATGTCTTTGTCTGGCTTCATTCCCTCATTCCATCCGTGAGATTTGTCCATGTTGCCACACCAGAGTGTAGTTCATTCTCTTTCACCGTTGGGCACCATTCTACCGCATGAATCCCATGCTACTATTGCCACACTGACTGACACTTGTGTGGTTCCCAGCGTCTGCCTGCTGGGATAAGCTGCAGGGAATGTTCCGGCACATGTCTCTTCATGGGCATAGACTCTCATTTCCCTTGGGTACAAATCTGTGAGTGTGTTTGCTGGGTCAGGGGCGGCATCTATGTAGCTCTAAGTCGATACAAGCAGGTTTCCAAAATGACTGGACCGACGTACACTCCCATCAACGATGCCTGAGCCTTCCAATTGTTTCATGTCCTTGCCAACACTGGGTATTGCTCGTCTTTTTGACACCAGCTGTTTTGGTGGGTGTGTGCTTTCGTCCGTGGTTCTTACAACCCAAGATAATCCAAAGCAGAGTAACTTTAGTCAGATTTGAGTACACAAATTGCCTTTCATATTTGTCACATTTGGGAAGATGGTTGAATAAGCACTAGGCGCATTTGCTATTTCCTCCGTTTGTATTGCTTGTGCTCTGCCCCTGTGGGTTCAATGAGTTGTTTTGGTAAGCGTTTGGGGAGAGGGTACTGTCAGGGAAGTGTTTTCTGAAATCTGTATTCTCAAGAACCAGGCTGTATAGATCAGGCTGAAAATAAAAAGACAGCTCAATTTTCTTCTCTCTCCTTGCACGGAGAGAACAAAGAAGACAGGGAAAGGAACAGAGTCTATCTGAAATAGATTTTACCCACGATCTTCCCCATCTCCCTATTTCTGGAATCCTGGAAAGATGGATGGGAGGATTTTTTTTTTAAATTTTTTTTTTTAAGTAACAACACTAGGTGCAGAGGAGGAGCCCAAGGTCTGAGATTGTTCAGTTATCACCGGGGCAGAGCTCAGGCATCATGCTCTCTGGTCCCATGCGCCCCCCCCCCCCCGCCCCGAGGGCCCTCTTCCCATCCCCCACCCTCTCCACTTGCCTCTACGGAGTCCTTGTCACATTAGATGATAAACACTCACTCCCTCCTCCAGGAAATATTTCAAGTACCTTCTGTGTGGCCAGCATGCATCTAGACCCTGGGATCTCAGCAATGAGCAAAGCAGAGACATGTTCTTCCTTCACGGAGTTTACGTTCTAGAGGGAAAAAGCGAAGGTGAAGGAAGCATGGTGGGCATTAATCCTCTGTGTGGCGGTCAGGGGCAGCCTTAGGAGACCTGAATGAGGGGAACGAGCCGTGTCACCGTCTGGGGAATGTACTTCCCAGGCAGGAGGGCGGAAGTGGCGGGATCCCCGAGGAACGTGGAGCTGAGCATTCGAGGAGCAGCCGGAACTCCTGTGCCCGAATTTGGAAGAGCAGGGCAGGATCCGGGGGGACAGAGGTGGGGTTAGCAGGAGGCCACCTTGGACGGTATCCCCAGTGTGGAAGGGAAGCACTGGGGGCTTTGGGCGGGGATGCTCCCCGCGGGCCCTCTGGCTGCTGAAGGGAGTGGTGCCCCCAGCGCCGAGGGGGGCCAGGGCGGTAGAGCCGTTCGCCAGATTAAAGACCCCAGCGTGTGTGCACACGGCCCTCCCTGCAGATACTGTCTGCGTGAACTTCCTCATCTTTTGTCTTTAGGGGGCTGGGGGTATCCATGATTAACGGCTTGCCTTGGGCTCTCCACCTTGTGGAGACTGAGCTGGACCTGGCGGTGGGCTCATTCCTAAGGCCACCGTGCCCTCTCTCCTGGGAGCCTCCTGCTGGTGGAGGGAAACGAAGCATGTCTTCCATGAGCAGCCAGTATCTGGGGACAGGGGTCAGGATGACATGACGTCTGTGACCTCAGAGGCTTTATTAGTCACTTGGCATGTCCCGGGAGCCACTTGCTTGTTAGTGTGTGGGGTAATCCAGGTGGAGTGTGTGATGGGGCCCAATTCCTCGATCGGTCCTCAGTAGGGGGAAGGCTTCCTGGACCCTCATGTAATCGGGAGCCCCAGAGCCGTCTGCTAAGATGAGTCAAGGGTTTGTTTCCCTTGTACTTGCATCTGAGACTATCCTGAAAGGTGTTTTGTTTAAAAGAAAAATGTGTTTGGAAGTGAAGGCTAGACTGAGGATTAGAAATCTGGTCCGTCAGCTCCCAGACTGCTGCCTAAGGGGCTGCATTTATTGTGGACCTACTGTGTCAGGTGCTAGCAGCAACATTACTGCATAGGAATTAAAAAGCCAACGTTTCTGGAGTGGTCATGGCGGACGTTTGACATATATCGTCTCAGGGTCCCATAACAACTTACAGGCTGGCTCTAGTGCTTCCCATTTTACAGCTTTACAAGGCCCAAAGAGGTAAGTCACTAGGCTGACAGGAGGCAGATCCAAAAAGCATGTTCTTTCCCCTTCATAAAGGAACCCTCCCTGCTGGGTCATCATCAGGCTCTGAAACCTCTCCGGCCTCAGGTTACTTATCCCAAAATGAAAGGGTTCGACAAGGCAGTCTTTCTGGCTCTTCCGGCTCTGAAGTCCAAGCCTCCTATCTTGGCTCCTCGAGGGAGGGAACTCCGTGGGCACAGTCCCCACGTGAGTCCCCCACCTCCGTGTGTTTCCTGTCCAGATCTACACTGGCTAAGCATCACAGTGGCTTGTGTTGGCCGAATGGGAATCACCATCGTGTTCCAGATGGTGTGCCTGGTGAACGCCGAGCTGTATCCCACGTTCATCAGGTGGGTGCACAAAGTGGGGGGCGGCGATGTGTGGTGGGGTCACCACTGACACAGCTGGGCACCAGGCAGGCTCCGCGAGGGCCAGCATTTTCAAGACAGTTCCTCAAGGCTCCCCCAAAGGTTGGTCCATTTAGACACTGAGGTGGGGGTGGGCATCAAAGAGAGGGTCAACACCTAATTATGGGAGAGAATGTGAAATGGGAAGGTTGGAGTAGAGTGTGCAGCGGGCAAGCGCAAGAGAACAGGCATCTGCATGGAGAGAGCCCTGGGCAGGGACTGCAAGACTGAGCTTCAGCCCAGCCTTCAGCTCCAACTAGTTGGGTAAGTCCAGCAACTGAACTGACACCTGCAAACATAACGGACTTCAACAGAGTTCCGACTGGTACAATGACACACAAAGCATTTCTAGACATCTGCCATTTCACCCCTAATGTCACTGTTATTTCCATTTTACAGATGAGGAAGTTGAGTTTCAGAGAGGGAAAGAGAACTTGCAGGAGACACACAGCCAGAAAATGGCAGGGCATCTTTCTGTCCTCGAAGCTGGGCTCTTCCCAGGATGACACAATCCTTTTCTGTAAACTTAGCAACAGGCCTTGAAGACTTATTATTATTATTTTTAAAGATTTATTTATTTAATTTAGGGGGAGAGAGAGAGAGAGAGCTCGCTCGCGTGAATGTGGGGAGGGGCAGAGGGACAGAGAGAAAATCTCAAGTACCCTCCTCACTGAGCGCGGAGCCTGGCGGGTGGGGAAGGGGTGCTCAATCCCACAACCCTGAGATCATGACATGAACCAAAATCAAGAGTCAGATGCCCAAGGACTGAGTTACCCAGGCTCCCCAGGCCTAGAAGACTTACCGTTTAAAGTCAGGTTTAGACCCAAATTCACTGTAACATGAAGTTCGCTGAGTTTTGATTATATGTGTACTCATCTACCGGCCATCACAATCAATATGGAGACATTTCTATCGCCTCCAAAGGCTTCCTCATATCCCTTTGCCGTCAATCCCCCCCTCCTTCCCTATCTCCAGCACCTGGCAACCACTGCTCTGATTTCTCCCCCTTTGGTTTTACCTTTTCCAGAATGTTATGTATATGAAGCAACATGGCATGTATGTAGCCTTGTGTGTTCGCCTCCTTTCACTCAGCATGACGGGGGCTGATCCACGTGGTTGCAGGTGTCCACGCTTTGCTCCTTCTGAGTGCTGAGTGGTATTGCAGTGTGTGAATGATGTACCATGATTTGCTTATCCGTTTGCCAGTTTATTGGCATTGACTGTTTCCAGTTTTGAGTGATTATAATATAGCTGCTCATAAACATTCAGGTATGGGTCTTTGAGTGGATATATGTTTTCATATCTCTTGGAGTGGTTCATATGGTGTGTGTTTAAACTTATAAGAAACTGTCAGCATGTTTTCCAAAATGGCTGCACCGTCTCGTAGTCCACCAGCCACACGTGAGAGATCAGGTTGCTCTACCTCTTGATCAGCACTTGGTGTTGTCAGTTTTTTATTTGTCTAAGTGTTTCTGGGACGTAGTGGTATTATTACTGTGACTTTAATTTACATTTGCCTAATTACCAACAATGTTGAGCATCTTTGTATGTTCTGATTGCCATCCTCATTTTAGGAGACTTAGTTTTAAATGAAGATTGTTTTTATTGTAAAAGTAATTAACCACTTTATTTAAAGTTTTAATTCTGACCTTTGTTAGAATTTGGTATCTTTCCTTAAACTCTTTTTTCTGTCTGTATTGTTTCCTATTTCCCATGCCACCGTGCTAGTGGTTTCTAAGAAATAGTCCAGGTCCCCAATCTCTTAGCTACACAGCAATCTGAGCCCCTCAGTCAGCCAGAAGATGCAAGTGTGGCTCTGATTTACTCTTCTCTTCCCCACCTGTTCTTCATTAAAAGGCCCTGTCTAATACTCTCAACTGTAAAAGGTTGCTTGGACTGAGTACAAAGAGATGAAGGCAAATTAAAGAGAAAATCTTCTACATTTGGCAGTCCTGAGCCCAGAGTCTAAAATAGTTGGGCCAAACAATTCCATTGTCATGGCCACCGGCCCCAAGGGACTGCCTGAAAATGTAAACTGTCAAAGGTACTGAGTGCCTGCTCCTATGTGGAAGAAGGCCAAGCAACCCATCTCAAGATCAACCCCTTGACCATTTGTGCGGAGAGCCTGTTGATGAGGATTCTCAGTAACTAGGAGCAGAAGCCAGATGTTGAGAAACGACTTTAAACGTGATCCACACACACACAGCAATAAGACAGTCATGAAAGTACTGGCATTTTCACTAAACGGAATCGAATCTAAATCATTAAAAAAAAAAAAGAGGATTATTTCAGTTACTTTATTACTTTACAAGGACTACAAAATCAAAAAATTACTATCAAAGCCATTTTGACTGTGCTTCTTATTCACAGGGGGTATTAGAAATGAAGAGCATCCTCCTTCGAGAACTGTCTCTCCTTTTTGTCTCCTTAGTATGGCATGAACTCCCTGAGAACAGGAACGATGTACCATACGTCTCTGTGCCTCTGCACCTGTTCTCCAGCTGTGCTAAGCAGTCACTAAGGGCTTGTAGAATGGCTGAATGAATCAAGCACCACAACACCGTGAATTTTACATAAGGGACCCAGTTCCCTACTTCTTCTAGCTTCTGTGTGCTTATTCAATTTTTTTACTTTTTTAAGATGTAGTTTCTTAAAATAATAAAAAAAATAATGTTTTTTTTCATTCTCCTCTTGGAAATCACACTGAAACTATTAGAAGAATGAGAATAAAACCTGCAAATGCCAGCTTTGAAACGAGGATGACCCTGAAAGACAAGGTGCAAGAAGAAGGGCTGCCTAATGCAGTGAGGTTTCAGAGGGTCTGGAAGATTCCAGGGATGCACAATGTGACAGTAACTCGTGGACAAGGCCAGTGGTTTTCCAAAGTAGGAAGCATACCTGGGAGGGTATAACCCACGATCCCTTGTTTGCAGTAACAGGATGGATAATAGGGTCTGGAGACATAGGCTTCATTCGCTGAACGCTGGGAGGCTGAAGGTGAAGCCGGGAGAGTGAGGCCAGGAGAGAACCTTCAGGGAGCTTGGGGATAGCTGTGTGCTGCAAGGCAGGGTGGAGGAGAGAGACCCTGCATGGTGAGGAATTCTGCACTGTCAACCCCTGTAGATTGAGAGGGAGAGACGTTAAAGCATCTGATCACATACAACCCTGGTCAAAAAGAGAATTTTTACTAGCCTAGAACATGATCTGGCCCCTCCCCACAAAGTCTTCTGAAATGGCTGATACAGGAAGAAATCACGGTATTAAAAGATGAATAATAAAAAAGTCATTCACCCAGTTATACAAATACATCATGAGAGAAAAAGAGAAAGGAACCGGAAAAGCAAATGACAGACGAAGAGTACACTCTAAAAAAATATTGTCACAAAGGAGATGAAAATTGTAACCCCAAATACCTCAATTAATGCAAAATATTAATTAATCAGTCATATTTATAAAACAAGAGTTTAACGCAGAGATAAAAGTTCTTGAGAAGATATGGGACAAGATGATTGAAACGGAAACCTATCTGAAAGCAGGGCAAAGGAGAACTGATCTAGTGAGGGAAAAGCAAGGTAGGGCTAAGAATTGCAAAATAAAATTGAAATAAGCAAAGTTTAAAAGTCTTGGAGATCACAAGCACAAGCGCACACATGCGTACACATGCACATGTCCCAAAGAAGATAACTGAAATAATGGAACAAAAAAACTTCAAGAAAAAAAAAAAAACACCTTTACAGAAACTTCTGGAAATAAAAGAATGTTTGACTCTATGATTTGAAGTGGCACTCGGTGAAACAGGAAAAACAGACTCAGAAGGAACAATGGTAAAGAATATTCTAGTTAAGTTCCTGGGCCCAAAGGGTAAGTCACAGATACAGGGAGAATATCAAATCGATTGTCAACTTGATAATCATTGAATGTGGGATTAAAGTGAGTGTGATTTTGACAACGGAACAGCAGTAAATGTCATAAATCTGACAATAAAGAAATGCTAGAAGACAAGGGAGAGGGGATGTAGCATGTGGTATAATAGACCAGTTTCCTTAGCATACTTTCTTCAGCTTGGAAAAAAATATATTATTAAAAGCTGATATGGGGCACCTGGGTGGCTTAGTGGGTTGAGCATCTGACTTTTGATTTCGGCTCAGGTCATGGTCTCAGGGTTGTGAGTAGAGCCCCATGTCAGGCTCTGAGCTCAGTGGGGAGTCGGCTTGAGATTCTCTCTCTCCCTCTTCCCTCTACCCGTTTCCCCACTCACCTGTGGGCTCTCTCGCTCTCAAATAATAAATAAATCAAATCTTTTTTTAAAAGCTGATAAATTATGTAGTGTTTTAGGTGTATTTTAAGATGTAAAGGCAAACAACGAAACAGTGGTATAGTTTACTAAAAGCAGTGCATGAAGGGGTGGAGGAAGTGGAAATATATAAATTTTATAATTGTTTATAATAGGAAGTTAATGAATACGCTCTAAAAAAAATAGAGTAGTAAATGTATTATATAAAGTTATAAAGGTAACATTTGAATAAAAATACAAACCTTCCAGGGCCCCTGACCAGCTCTGTCGGGAGACCATGTGACTCTTGATCTCAGGGTCATGAATTCGAGCCCCACAATCTATGCAGATTACTAAAAAAAATAAAGTTTAAAAAAATACAAACCTTCCAAATTATCAGAAAAAAATACACATAACCAACACATACTGAAAATAAGACACTAGAAGCAATAAAAAGCATGATGTAAAAGCTAATGACAGAATTAAGACCAAGCATTTCTGACATTTAAACAAACACAAAGAGGCTCAACTCCTCTATTGACAAAAGGAAACTCCTTCAGTTGGTTACAAAGCAAAACTGTACACTTTGCTGCATAGTTGAAGTAAACTTTTCTTTGGAAGGGTTGAAAAGAAAAGAATGCATGAAAGCTTATCAGTAAATGCAAACTAAAGTATAACAAGAGCCATAATCTTATCAGACAAAGTTGAATTTATGCCAAAAGTGTATTTAATAAGATAAGGAAGTCCCTAAATAATGATAAAGAAGAAATCCACAATGGTCTCACAGGGAGATTTTATGAAACATTTAATTAATAGAAAGCTCCAATGATACTCAAACTGTTCTAGACTATAGAAAAAGGAGAAAGATTTAAAAAAATTTATTTTATTTTTTAAAAAGATTTTATTTATTTATTTGACAGAAAGAGAGAGAGCACAAGCAGGGGGAGCGGCAGAGGGAGGGGGAGAAGCAGACTCCCCACTGAGCAGGGAGCCCAGACATGGGGCTTGATGCCAGGACCCTGAGATCACGACCTGAGCCAAAGGCAAGCACTTAACCAACTGAGCCACCCAGGCATCCCCCAAAAAACATTTTAATAAAGCTAGGATAATATTGGTATCAAAGACCAACAAAGATAAAGAAAATAAGGAAACTATAGGCAAATATTTTTTGTGAATATTGATTAAATTCCCAAACAACATATTATCAGAACAGAATAGTGGAGACATTAAAATGATAATATATCATATCTAAGAGGAATTACTCAGGAACACAAAGATAGTCCCATATTAAAAAATCTAATAGTATAATTCACACTAATAAATTGAAAGAGTTTTGATAGAGCTAATAAATTAAAACTGTACTATTATCTCTATAGATAGTGAAGGACATTTAATAAAATTTAACATCTACTCTTGTTATTACAATCTTTCCATAAAACAAGGGATAGATAATTTTACATATAATTTCCTCAGTATGTTTTTCCAGCTAAGAAGAAACATATCATTGAACACTGATAAAGTAAGTTATAAATATATTTAAAGATATAGTGGCAAACACTAAGAGATGATATAACCATCTAAGATGAGGTAGTGGGGGGAGGGATTGGAAAGGAAATGGAACGTACTACTTTTATAATTACAATTGTAGGGAGGAAGAGATTATGCAAATGAGCACAACAGAAGAAGCTTAAAAGTAATATCCTAAAGGAAAAAGCTTTTCCCAATTTATTGTTCCTAATTTAACCGTGTTTCTAAAACAAAGCTCAAGATTATTTATAGGAATACAAAAATATGCAGCACTGAACAATGTAAAATTTATCAATAGACACAAGAAATACGAATGTTCTGAACAGCCCAGTTAAAAGGCAGATTGTTAGATAGGACAAAAACGTGACACCCAGCTGTGTACTGCTTACAAGAAACTCACTCTAAATATAATGATGGAGATAGTTCAAGAGTAGAAGGATGGAAAAGGATATTCCATGCAAACCCTAATCAAAAGTGGCCATCTTCATATAAGACAGAGTAGATGTCAGAGCCAAGACTATTAGCAGGGATGGAGAGGATCCTTTCAGGTAGATCACTTCTCTGTTTCCCCCTCTAGCTTTCTTTGTTCTCCATTCCTTAATACCTTCTCTCTACACTTCCCTATCTCTTCATGTAAAAAAAAAAAAAAAAAAAAAAAGAACTCTACTCACACCAACCAATTCTCCAACTCTCCAGACATCACCTGGGTATCCTATTCAATTCTGATGTTAACCACCTGGGTTTAGAGCAGACCCCGCAGGTTAAGGGCTCAGTCCCACAAGACTGCCCCCACCTCCGATTCCAGGCACGAGCCCCAAGCTGACACCTGTACTTCTGACCCACTGGCTATACATCAGGATTCCCCTACGCCCCTCCCCGAGTTCAATAATTTGCTATCATGTTTCACAGAACTCAGAGAAACACTTACTTACATTTACTGGTTTATTATCATAAAGGACATAATAAAAGATATAAATGAACAGCCAGATGCAGAGGTACGTAAGGTGAGGTTTAGAAAGGTCCCGAGCACAGGAGCTTTTGTCCCCGTGGATTTGGGGTGGGCCACCCTCCCAGCACAGGGGTATGTTCACCAGCCCGGAAGCTCTCTGAACCTTTAATTTGGGGTTTTTATGGACTCTCTGTTATGTAGACATGATGGATTAAAAATCACTGGTCATTGGTGATTAACCCTATCTCCAGCCCCTCTCCTCTCTCTGTTCTTGCTCTAGGGTAAGGTTAACATTTGGAAAGCTGAATCACAGAGATATCATCTTTTTTGTTCTCTATATTTTATCAGGAACCTTGGAGTGATGGTGTGTTCCTCTCTGTGTGATCTGGGTGGAATCATCACCCCCTTCCTGGTCTTCAGGCTGATGGAGGTTTGGCAAGGCTTGCCACTCATTTTGTTCGGTAAGACTTCATGGGCTATTCCAGCCCAGCATGATTACTTTGACCAGTGAATGATACCCTCTGGTGAAGAAGGTTGGTGCCTGCCCTTCCATTGTCTCTTGGCTCACTCTGTCTTGTTTGATGGGAAAGATAAGATGCCATTCCTAGAAAGCAGGCCGGACGTTTACATCTGAAGGCTCTAGAGTCCAATAATTCATTCTACAGGACAGGATTTGGGAGACATTTTGACATAGCCTCCTGCTTTCTTATGAATTTGACTCCAATTTTTGTGCATTTAACATATAATTGCTGGAGGCTTGAATATGCTAAATTATCATCCGTCTTCTGCTTAACAATTGAGAATGGACACAAGGAGACAAATGGGAATCAAAGTTTGGTATCAGCTTTGTAGTGATAAAGTTGGATTAAAGAAGAAGGAGGAGCGTCTTCCTTGTCTCCCCAAACTGAGACCTCGCGACCTCCAAGACCCTGCTTACGCACTTGGCGGAAGGCAAAATGGCCGTCTGCGTGCAGAGCGCTGCCGTGTCTGGGCTCCAGGCAGATCCACCAAGGAGTGGGAGGGGGAGAGACGAGGAGAGGGGAGGAGGGAAGGAGAGAGAGAAACAAGAGAGGCCCACACTGCCCACGTATATATTATCTATGCTTCATGTCGTATATATAGTAATATAATATTAACATATAGTAACTGTAGTATATATTATAGTTTATAGTAACTATAATATATATTATATATAAAATAATACATTATAATATAATTATCTAAGATATATATCTGGTTTTATATATGGTAACTATGATATATATGATATATAATAATTAATAAATCCCCTAATACTTAAACATCAGTTACGGTAGAATTTCCCTATTCTTGCTCTGACATTTCCCCAGTTATTTTATGGTTTTAATTTTTTCCCTAGATGCTCCTGATTTCTAAAAAAAAACAGAGTCTTTCACAGGTGTATTACCTACCAGCCCTTCAGGTAGCAGCCGGCATCCCGCTGAATGCCGTCCGTTGTGCTCTAACGGTTCTGTGTGAACTCTGTTTCCTTTAAAGCGGTGTTGGGCCTGGCTGCCGGGGGAATGACGCTGCTTCTTCCCGAGACTGAACGGGTCACCTTGCCAGAGACCATCGAGGATGTGGAAAACCTCGGGAGGTGAGGCCACGGTGCTCAGGGACTCGGGGCCCACGGGAGTGAGGCCTGCCCTCTGCTGCCTTTATTTCCCCCCTCTGTCTTAATGGTTTAGGAGAGCTTTGCAGGTATGTGTGCATCTTTTCTTTTTTTTTTTTTTTTACTCCCAGAGTTGCTGGAGAGAGAAACACAAACAGTCACTGGCTTTGAGTAAGGAAATATTGGAGAGCACAAATATGGGTTTTTAGTGGGCAGTTATCTGTTCTAAACTGTGGGATGGAGAACCCATGTCTGAGATGCTGCCTGACCGAGGACTGAGTCCCTAGCTCATCCCCGGAGCTGACTGCTCTGCATTGGGAACGATTTTTAAACCAACCTTCTGTCCTTTTAACAATTGTTTGTTCAGGTTCTTCAGTGACTCTCTTTACAAAGAAGAACAGTTTAAAACGTTCATGCTTGTAATGGGGACAAGTGCTTTAATGGAGTCTCAGATTCTACTCTTTTTTTATTTTTTATTTTTGTTTTAGAGAGAGAGAGAGAGTGAGTGTGGGGGAGCAAAGGGCAGAGGGAGAGGGAGAGAATCTCAAGCAGACTCCCTGCTGAGCATGGAGCCCAACAGGGGCTGAATCCCATGACCTTGAGATCATGATCTGAGCTGAAATTAAGAGTTGGACACTTCACCGGCTGAGCCACCCGGGAGCCCCTCAGATTCTACTCTTAAAGCAATAAAAAAAAGAAAGGACTAAACAGTGCTCAAGGAGGTGGTCACTCAGGTCCCCCTCCAGGCTTGCTCTGTGGATTCCATAGGAAAGACACACGTGTCCCCATGATGAGAGAGACAATGGTCTATGGAGTCAGAGAGACGTGGGCTCAAGTCCAGTCATCCACTTGGCCACGTGACTTTGGGGACGTCATTGAAACTTACAGAAAGTTAACTTCCTTGCCTGAGAAATAGCCACACTAGTACCCAGTTTGGAGGGTTGCTGGGAAAATGCAATGAGATAAAGTAGGTGACAGTGACTAATCAATTGCCCGGGACATAGTAGGTGTTCAATAAATCTGAGATTTTCTCCATTCTTCTTGCATCTTGTGTGAACTCCTCGGTGAGTCTCAAAACTTAGTATGCGGAATAATCACAAAAAAGAAGCTTACTGACATGCAGATTCCTGGGCCTTCTAGGGTTTTTGACTTAGTAAATGAAGGTTGGGACCCAGGAAATCTGTGCTTTTAATAAACTCTGCCAATGAAGTGCAATTAAGTGCTAAATAAACCTGACTTTGAGAAATTCTGGGTGTCTCAATACTGATAAGGGACACTCTATTTTAACTGTAAACACATTTTCTAGTTGCTGACAGGTAGCTAATGTTGATTACCAGATTTGAAGCTGTTTCAGTACAATTTGTCCATAGACACCCGCTCATCTCTTGAGATCCCCCTCTGCTGGCCTCTTCTCTCTGTTGCTTGCCAATCTGGTTTTCATCTTTTGTTTTGAGATCTATTCCCACAGACAACTTTGCAATAGTTTCTCTTTTCTTTTTTCCTTTTCTTTCTTTCTTTCTTTCTTGGCAATAGTTTCTTTTTTTTTTTTTTTTAAGATTTATTTATTTGAGAGAGAGAGAGCAGGAGGGAGGGACAGAGGGAGAAAGAAAGAGTCTTAAGCAGACTCCGAGCTGAGCATGAGCGCAACACAGGGCTTGATCCCATGACACTGAGATCATGACCTGAGCTGAAACCAAGAGTCAGACGCTCAACCAACTGAGCCAGCCAGGCGCCCTGCAATAGTTTCTTAATCAAAACATTGACTGTTTTTTAACTTTTCTTTTTATTTTTGGCTGCTACAGGATAGCAAAGCCCAAAGAAAACATGATTTACCTTCAGATCCAAACATCAGAACGCACTGGCACCTGAGAGAGACGCTTCGCTGGGACTGAGTGGCAGAGAGGAAGATGGGGTTTTCATCTGAAGAAAAGCTTAGAAACCCTGATTTCTCTGTGCTCTTCCTCAGACTTGCCTGCCCCTAAACCAGTAGCCTGAAGAACACTAAATGTGCTTTGTTTTATTTTTTCTTTGAAATCTCCTAAAGCCCTGGCTATCTTTTATCTGCTTACCTTTCCTAGTGAGAGCTGTTGGTAGTTACCAGTTACTTAATTACCTAAAGTATTTGGAAGATCCAACAGAATTTAAGTATTGCTATAAAAGAGGCCTCTGTCACCGGTTTCCTAGAGGAGGTGCTGTTTTATTCACTTTCTGAAAGAAAATGTCTTTGTGTCTGCAGTATAATTTCTTGGCAAAAGTATTTTAACATGTAGCCTTCTTGAAGGGCACTTGGTTTTCAAACATGGTGGCACTTCCCGCGAACCATACCTGAATCACGTTGAAAGTGTCATCCTCCTCTGAAGGCCAGAATTACTGTAACCTTTTTAGGAAGCGGTTTCTGTCACCTATGCTCCAGGAATATTATATTCGATTTCACTCTTGGTTTTCGTTCTTGTTGGTGATTCTAGAAGGTAAACTCCTACGCTAACTGCAAAATACTGTAGTAAATATATCAAAAAGAGTTTAGTTTACTGTGAGAAATGTAGTAACTGGTTGAAGTTCTGGTTGAAGAAGCGATTTCGTTCCTAGAGTACACCTAAACCTTTATTTTAAAATTTCTTTACCTGTGAAATAATCCAAAGACCACATAATAGCCAGCCTTCAGAGTGCATTGGGAAACCAAGTTTCTAATGTGAATGGGAGGCAGCTGAAAGACAGGTGCTTGTGTTACAAACACTTCTGGCCTGGTGGGCTAAGCTCAGGGACAGTCTCAGGGACATGAGACCATGGCATTCAGGCCTGAGCAGCATTTGGTCTTCCTTTGAGAATGGACATTGGTTACTTGGAAACCTGAAGCTTTGTCCTTGACAACAAAACAAAACAAACAAAACAAAACAAAACGAAAGGAAAGCCCTTGTCTTCTGAATTCTATTTTAAAACCCATCTGGATACATGGAGGGGACCAGCGCTTCATTTCTGCTTCTCCACAGCAAGGCCCTTCCCCGATATCTTATCTTTCTGACCATAACATCTACACTCTTCACTGGTAACAAATATGTAAGTTGCAGGCTTCAAATCGTTTTTTTTTTTTTTTAATGTGTATTAAAAATACCCTCTCTGATCTTTCTTAGAATCCTTCAGTGAAATGTCTGAGGAGGCTTTAAACAAAGGGAATGTGTGTGTGTGGACTGAGGAGCAGCCTCCTCTTGCCTGGGTGCTCACCTGCTCTCCCGTGGGAGGAGGCTCAGTCCTGTGACCAGGTTTTAAGGGGTGCCCAGCTGCAGAAAGTGTATGTGAATGTTGCCTGTCGTGTCACGGGGAGGTATGGGCTGTCCTTCCCTCCTTGCCTCCCTCCGTGTGGCTACAAAGGAGCCATAGGCAATCCAGAGGAGGGTGAGGGTGGAGGGGGGTTTGTCAGGGAGTGTGAAGGCAGAGATAAGTTGGTCACAGAGACAGGTGACGTCTAAATACTGGGAGAGCCGGGGAGGTGTGACACAGGTGTCAGGAAATCTGAGGAACTCCTGTGAAGACCTGGCAGCGAGACCCTGGGCCCCTGCTCCGGGGGCAAGGCTGTGGGGTCCTATTAGTTCAGCCCACACATGCCAAGCACCTGCTGTGTGCCCCAGTCATCCCAGGCTCACAGAAAAGCCCCCAGGCAGGCTATGCTTCCAATTGCCTGATGCACGAACTCCCAGTAGCACCCTGTGAGGTGATCCAGGTCGTGCTGGTGGGTGTGGAGGAGCAGGGCAGCCAAGCTTATAGGCAGACGGAAGGACATGAGGGTCTGCAAAATCACCTCCCCAGTCCTGCCCCCAAACATTTCCTTCAGTGCCTAGCACCAGGCCTTTAGAGATTTCATCCTGCGCGTCTTGAAGGCCAACCACCGAGAAGGAAGAAGTGAAACCTCACATTGATCAGCAAATGACGGGCATGGGGCCGCTCATCGTGTAAAAGCAAGTGGGGACCGGAGGTCCTGGGACAGTGCCCAAGAGGGGCGGGTGTGACGACAGGGCAGGAAGCACTCACTTTCAGCCTTGTGCCTAGGACACGGTGTGGCCGTGGGACAGCCTTGTGCCTGGGACATGGTGAGGTCATGGGAAGAGCCTGGACTCTGCTCTGACCCGGAAGTGGTTCCCCCATCTCCTCCACCATCTGCTGATTTTATGGACTGAAGCAAGCTCTTTAACTGTCCGAGCCTCTATGTCCTCCTGGCACCCACCTCCAGGTGGGCTCTGAGATTGCTGTGAGAAGGATGTGGAAAGCTGCAGAGCACCACCCGGGGACGTCACGCCAGGCTCCATGCCACATGGCCCCACATTTGTAGCATACATGGGGGTCAATCATCCCCAGCTGGAGAAGAAACTGAGCCATCCAACCAGCTCACACCCTGCCCCTGGTTATGAAGGGCAACGTGTCCTATTGTCCGTTCCACCTCTGCCTCCTCTGCGAAGGTCAAGGTTGAATGTCTGATGTTCCGAGATGTCGCTGGGGCCAGAGACATATGGGGTTAGGCTTCATACAAAGACACCTTTCAAAATATATTTATGAGACACATTCTCATGAGACACTCATGGCAACAACATTTTATTTATTTTATTTTTATTTTTTTAAGATTTATTTGGGGGGACAGAGGGAGAGGAGTGAGAATCTCCAGCAGACTCCCCACTGAGCGAGGATCCTGACACAGGGCTTAATCCCAAGACCCATGAGATCATGACCTGAGCCGAAACTAAGAGTCAGACTTAACCGACTGAGCCACCCAAGCGCCCCACGGCAACAACATTTTAAAGCTGATATTACTTGCATTTCAAAATTGAGAAAGCTAAATTCAGAGATGGTAAGTGGCTTGTGCTAATGAAGCAAGGAATTGGGCGTTGCATTTAGAAAGGGCCAGATTAGCTAGCGCTAGGAGAGTTCTCCACAATTCTCAAACTGTACCTTTCCTGACTCCTGCCTCTTGATTTTTTAAACTTAGAAACACCAAGAAACACACACACACAAAGAAAATCACTTCAAAACCCACCATATGACAGAATCCTGTAGAGGGAGAATCCACTAGTCACCCCCCACCCGCCCTCCCACCGGGGGCACTGCTGATAGCCGGCTGAGTCTCCATCCTTCCTCTTAACACCAGAGCGGCAGGGAATATCGGGAATATCAGGCAGGCTGAGTCCTGGAGCACTAAGAATGTGCGTTTCCCCCCACTCTCCTTCTGCACCCCAAGTCTGGCCGCTACATGAACAGCAGCTGTTGTCCCAAGCTGAGCTGTCCTAGTAAAGCCAGAAAGCAAAGGACACAGGTCTTGGCACCTAGTTGTCTGCTAGGGATGGCGGAGACTCAGGACAGGAGAAAAGGCATCTTCCACCCATCAACGGAAGAGACAAAAGTGCTCTGGGCCGGGAAGACCACAGAGAGAAAAGCTGAAGAGCTAGGTGCTGGTCTTTGAGAACCTGTTCTGGGCTCTGGCCCCGCTACTCTGAACTGGCCCCCCAATGCGGCGAAGTCTGGCTTAAGTTTGCCTGTGAATTACCAGAACCTCCCAAACATCAGGGGCTTAGACAAGATAAAATTTTCTTTCTTTCTCACATTCAAGAAGTTGGCTCATTGCTGTGCCAGGCAAGACTTCCATCCCCAGGTGGCTGCTGGAACTCAGTGGTTGCGGTCACCCCCACCGCGTGCACCCGCATCACAGGGGATGGGGCACGAGGAGGATGGTCTTCCTTTAGGGACACTTCCTGGAAGTGGTGCATGGCCCTGTGTCTCACCGGCCAACACGTCTAGAGAGAACAGGAAATGGGGGTGGGGTACGAGGACCTCACATAAAGTTGGGGTTTCATTACTGAGGAAGTGGTGACCATGGATTTTGGAGGAGAACCAGCTGTCCCTGCTCTGGTTGGTGGGATGCCTGACCCTTCAAAACAAATCTGAGGGCCTGGGAGTAGAGGGGACCTGCACTGTTGACCGTGGCACGAGGGAGGCCCCCAGAGACCCAAGTCTGGGGAGCCAGGGGAGGGGAAAACGCAAATGCCCTGACTGGCCGGAATTCTCTGAGAGAAACCTGAGGTGATCAGGCTTGCCTTGAGTTGGCAGGATTGAGTTTTCCACGACCTGCTGGAATAGGGGCTGGAGATAGAAAACCACGTCAGAGAACAAGGCTCCATTTCTTACTTGTTTGCGTTTTGTGGCCTAAGAGCTCACCGAGGTGTGCCATCCCCCGCGGTCGGCGACATGCGTTTTAAACATTTTTTCCATTTGTGAGCACATGGATCTGATTTTTTGCTTAACGACTTCATAGTAATGAATTGAGCAACGCAAGTGATTCAAGGTGCAAACCCCACCTTAGCACCTTCTCTTTCTGGCGTTTGTCAGAAATGTCCAAACTGCACAGAATCTATCTCTGCTCCTCCGAGCATTTTGTGTGCAGACTCTACTTGCTAAACCAAATCCTATTTGTCTTATCTTATGAATTCATTTTTGTTCTCGCTCTCTCTCCACACACACATTACAAATATCTTACATTTCATAGCACATATTATATTACATATAAAATCACCCCAAACACACATGACTGTATTTAAAATCTTTCAATAGGTACATTTCCCAAACATAGCAGTGAGAAATTTTGCTCTGTTTTATTTAAATAACTCCCCTCTCCACTAGGTACTAAGTCCTCAAATGCAAGAGAAAGTGTTCTTACCGTCTGCCCCTTAGGAACGTGGAGCGGAGGGATATCCGTCTATGTCTGCGGGGCTGCTGTTCCCTTAGGGACGTAATTAAAATCCTGGGGACCAGATGGCCTTGTGTTTAGCAAATAGGTCCCCCCAGGACCTTTTGGGAATGAAGGTAGGGTTAGGATGGGGACAAGGAAACAGAGAACGCGAATCGGCTGCCCAGATTTCCGTAAGGCTCAAAGCTGCTTTCTAGGTTCAAAATAGGGGGACAAAGGGAGCTAGAACGAAGATG